AAATGACAGGCACAATTAACATAATTATCATAGTTGACATTAAGAAATTAAAAATCTCCTCAAGGTTTGTATGTTTTAATTATACATGCAAATTTGTGTTCAACAAATCTAAGCTGATAATTATAATATTTCTATGTTTATTAGAGTGAATGACCCTTAGGCAAAATTAATCTCGTATTATCAGTATAGGATTGAGGGGATTGTTGAGTTCAAACCACTATTGACAACCTGGAAGTACTGGATGATCATTTTGTTCCAGTATAGGACTACTTAGCTGTGACCAGTTTAATCGAACCTTGTCCGTTGTGAAGCATTTACTCACTGAAGACAATGATGGATGGTTGTACAATACCGTGGATTGGTTAAAGTTAGACATTAATACCGTTCGATGCCGGCTCAGCGATCTATAGGTTAAGCGTTCGTGCGCGAGATCGAAGGTCTTGGGTTCGAGTGTAGTATGCGGGATCGTGGATGCGCGCTACTGAAAAGTCACATACAAGGACGAAACGGACTTTCAATCGAAACTCACTCAGTTTATTAACTTGATTTTAGAAGAATGAAAAAGCTAATGTGATGTTTACATTATTTCTATCTGGTTGAGAAAGCCCAGAGATACGTAATGATGGTGTTCAATTACTATTCAACTTGTCAACTATTATATATTACATCAAGAAATGATGTTAGTTAGACCACATTGAAAACCTGACCACACTGGACGGCCGGTTTGTTTTAGTATGGGACATTTAATGCTGTCATATTTCCAGTGATAATCTAGCTAACATTGTAGTGAGCATAACACGACTGGGGACAATCAAATGTATTAATTAAATGTATAAATTATAGACTATCTCACTAAATCCTGATAACCATGCAGTCAACAGTTAATTTGAAAAATAACAATCAATTGTCTCAATCTTAACTGTTCCTTCTGCAAATATCAGTCCGTCTTCTCTGATTTCATTGTTCATACATTTTAGTACCGGTTGTACTTCATTCCTGTTCGTTCCTTATCGATCTTCTACTAAAATACATTCTATATCTGATCATCACCATATACTACTTATATGGATATAAGTAGACCACACTACAACATCATTTCATAGTTTAAAATCTCTGGAAAGTCTATAATCTCCATTAACCCCTAGACTGTTAAGTATTAGTCTATAAAACTCATCTCCATATTGGTACCAAAATCACTTTGTCATTAATTTATATTCATTTCAACTTGTTTGTATAGTTAAAAGGGTCATATACAGAGAAAAAAATGCATCACATTTCATCTTATGTATCTGGAACTAGTTAACCTTTAAACAAGGTTCTTACAAAAAAGATGTCATTTCAACACTACAACACCACCCTAATTCAGTTTGTTCTTCTTCTTTTCAACATATGTTTCGTGTTATTCAATTGTTTATTTATGCTAATCAGGTCAGGTCACCAGTTTGAATGGGTTGTGTATACAACAGATATCATATAGACTTAGACACATTCAACAATCTTCTTTTTTCATACCTCTATATGTTGTAGACGTCTTGGCTAATTTGCTTTAATTTCCATTTATCAATCATGTAATCAACTTAACATTCACAACAATGCTTTCTTTATGTATCGAAGTTAAAGTTACCTCTAATGACATTCAGAATTTAAAATGTATCAATGATGTTCTCCTCTTAACAATGACATCATGTATCTAACCAATATTAATGTTAATCAAACGATATGATTAGATGTCTTATATGAATTTATTACATAGAGACTAATTTTCGGCTTGCCTGTGTCACTTTTCTCTTGATCTTTAACAGAATTCAAGGAAAGTAATCTAAATTAGTGTTTTCTTAAGAATACATAACTGAATGTTGATACTGATTAGATGTAATGTAGCTAGAAGTGGAATACAGAACGATCGTTTCTTTCCATTTGGGACTTGTCATTTGGATATACCTAAATCCCAGAGTTGTTGTTGTTGTCAGTAATGTTTATTTAGTTAACGTTTTCATTACTGAATTGATCGATTGACGGTACTGAAGTGGATCGTGATTAAATTTAGTGTGTCACTTACATAATCTATTGAAGCGTTTAAGAGTAAATTGCTAATCTTCCATTCATTAAATATTCTATCCTACCATTGCTGATACTTAGGACCGGCTTCTGATCAACCTTTGTTGATATATATAGCGATAGGCAATGAGTTCAAGTTTCATTGTAAACATTGGCACTAGGGTACCGAGACATTCAACTGAAAAGGTCAAAATAGGATGAAACATGTGTCTTAAATTCCACTGTTAGTCACAACCTGAATATACCAGAACCTGTTGAAATTTCAGTCGAAGATGATTAACTCTTCACATTGTTTACATTCATTTAACTAACCTTGATGCTTTTCATAGATTAGTATGTTTCACTGACTATAATAACTAAAATATCGCTTGCTTCATATGTAGCATAATTAAGATTTATGCGGCGAAAAAAACATCATACGGATAACATAGTCCATAAAACATTTATTCTCTCTTGACATAACTATCTGTGTTAATTTGATGTAGGTTTGTTCTCTGAACTGGATGGTTTGGTCGTGGAGCTTTCATCGTTCTTCTGAACGACATCATCAGCACAAACTTCAGGTAGAAATGAAGTGTTTGAATTTCTCCACATGTGATCACATGTACCAGTACCAATCATTTGTCTCAATCTTAACTGTTCCTTCTGCAAATATCAGTCCGTCTTTTCTGTTTATTATTATTCATGCATTTTCGTACCAATTGCGCTTCATTTCTGTTCGTTCCTTATCGATCTTCTGCCAAAATACATTCTATATCTGACCATCACCATATACTACTTATATAGATATAAGTAAACCACATTACACTACTTATTATTATTACTATTATTATAACAATTAATTTTGATGCTGTCGTTATTGTCTCATTATTTTATGGTCCAGTTGTTTTCATTTATAAGGTGTGGTCACTTTAGTCTTCTAACTGGATGAATCTACTAAAAATGTATCGTTTATTTTTAGACAATCCTCTGTTTTAATTGTCTGTTTTTTTCAATGTTAAGGTGTGTGTTTGTAACGGTTTTTTACTTCGGTTTACCTAAAAAAAAAACTATTTTTATGTTTATCATGCTTAAACTGATTATTGCTTGTTATAACTAGAGTAGGTGATTACAGTGTGTGCGCATATATATCTGGTGCCCCTTTGTACCAATATTTATGTGTTCAAACAAAGAAAGGTGGTTACATGTACATGATTCTAGCCTGTTTATATATGATAAATTTCTTAATTAAATCTGTAAGCCGTTTTAAGCATTCAATGGACACAAGATAGGAGATCGGTAGGAAATCCCCCAGATAATTGACTATGTCTTGAAACATAATAAAAAAAATACTTTAGCTTGGAAATAAAAGGACACATTCAGCCTATTAGAACTCTAACCAGTTTCTCTCAGATAATCATTTCGATAGTGTACAAAGATAGCACAATTTGTTAACATTTTAATCATAGCTTTCATTCATCTATTTTTGTAGTAGTGAATGTAATGTTTGCCTTTCACTCATGAGTCTCTGATTTAATTCAAATCCTTAGAATATACACAATTTTACAATCTATAACGAAGATACTAAATACCAAAAATTTCCCCCTACGGCCGAGAGTGAGGAGAGTCAGCTCTCCCTCTCGAAATACTCTCACATGGCCACGCATATACCTCTACCAGGGAAGTCCTACTCACTGCCTTCTCGTCTCAGGGGTGTTGTTTACGAATTTGAGAGGACGAAAAGCGAATGTCCGGCACTTTAACCGGGTTGGTGGATGTGGAGGATCCACCGAGGGTAGTCGGAAAACCCTGATTCCCAACCAATGGTGCACATGGTCTCCAGTATCCTGAAGGAACAAATGACGTATGAATCAATCGTTGGTCACCGGCTACCATGGGACTGCATTTCCTCACGATGCTCCACTGCCTTGTGGATTAGGTCTTTAGGTCAAAGGCTCTGAGTATTGCTCCCTAAGAAAACTGCCTGCTACGGTCTGATCACCCGGGTAGTATCACAGCCCTCACACAAATCAAATGAAATTTGTGCGGCGCATATTTATCGGGTGCTTCCTTGTACCAATATTTATGTGTTTAAATAAATAATAAATACTAAATATATATATATATCACACTTCTCATTAAAAGAATTAATAGCTTTGCTAGAAATGATTTGTCAATCAAAGAATAACTTTCATTGATTTAAACACTCATTTATTAAACTTCAAATAACTATCGCCACTATGGTAACATATCTAGGTGTAAGTAAAACGAAATTAACTTTCCATACAATTTTATTTTATTTATTTAAACACTCTCTCTTCGTGTCCACCAACCCGGTTTTAGTGTTGGACATTCGCTTTTGTCCTCTCAATTTCATAAACAACACCCCCGCCACGAGAAGGCAGTTAGTAGGACTTCCCTGTCAGAGACTATATACGCGTGGCCATATGAGAGCATTTGAAGAGGGAGAGCGGACTCTTCCCACTCTCAGCCGTACCAGGACATTTGGGAGCAAATTAATTTTCCACAAAGCACAAAATTTCATTTTTAAAGAGTCAATGTTCTTCTCACTTTGAGTAATTGAATACACCCTTTGTATAAAGTTGATCCACAATGACATTTTTCATTTCTCTTCCTCATTTTATTTGATGGTCATTATAACGAATTCTGGAAGCACACGCTTATTTCAATAAAGTTGAATCTGATCAATTGTTATCTTTTCTTTTGTAACAGTTGTTACCATATGGTTTTAGGTTTGAAATCAACTTGAAGATTTATATCTTATCACAATCAGTTACTAAGTACAACAACGGAATGAAGCTGTAGGTTTGTTCTTAGCAATATCACCATCTTAGACTATCACTATATCTTGTCTTACAAAATGATCTTACCTTTTAACATATTCATTCATTTCCAACACTTGCTAATAAATTTCTTAACATTTTTCTTTTGTTTTCTTCCAGCCTCTAATCATAGGTACTAATAATGGAATAGGATGTTGTTATACTACATCTAATCGTCGTATTCAAAATGGAAATATTCATTGTGAACTTGATGTTGAATCAGCTGATTCTGGACGTGGAGCTAGTGAAGATGATCCAAGTCAATTAGGTGGACAATTTATGCATTTTTATCCTACATGTCATGTATCTAATTTTCAACATGGAACAACAATTGCTCACATAAATAATTCATCATCTGTTCATGTAAATGGAACAACTACTTTAACATGTGTACAAAATATGAAACTAGAAGATCATTCAACAAACAACTCTTCTAGTATTGTTCTTTTACCCGGTGGAATGTTGAATAATAATAATAATAATAATGGTTCTAATGTTGGCGATGAACAATCGAAATCAAATTGGAATACAACTGCCGTTGTTCGTCGACTAAAATTATGAACACACATTAGGACTTTAATATGCTTTTTAAGTTGTTTAAGTTAAGACAAACTTTACTCAAACCTGTTTCTATGTATGTATCATATTTATATTTCACCCCTTCTATCTATCTATTTACATGTTTATTTTTTCTCTTTCTCAGTAACTATCTATTTCGTTCTGGTGATTTTCTTGTCAATCAATATGAAAATGTTTTATTTTCTTTGCTTTTACTTGTAATGAATGAGAACAAAGATGGGGACATTCGGTGACCCTATATCTGACTCCATTTTAGATCGTATGAATGATATTGAAATCTACATGCCCCCAATCTTCCTATATAATCATCGACTTAACACGCGTTAGTGTATAACGGAATTAAATAAGTCAAATATGAGAATGAATTTCGAATACTTGTATTTCATACAATCGCTGATCCAGACAAACGATCGGAGAAAAGAAGCGAAGAAAGCGAAATGAACGGAGCGAAGAGGAATGACATGCAGTGGAGAAGGCGTCTGAGCCAACTCAATTTAATCAAGCGTTAATCGATATTTATAACCAGATAAAAATAGGCTACTGACTTCTAATTAATAAGTTAATAAGTATACACATATACGCACATACAAAAACAGTCAAGATTGATAAGTGAATAATGAACAAGGTCAAAACGTAGCTTGAGAAGAATGGATAAACTTGTTTGCCTGGAAGCTAAAATATGTTATGTGGGCTCGACATAGGACCAGCCACTACAGACAACCGATTGTATTTGAATACAAAATTACGGAGTTCTTATGCCATATATGAAAAGCATACGTTCAACACTTCATTTGCAAATCCTCCATCAATTGTTTCAAACGTCATTGCCATAAGTGACCCTCTATTCCAGTTCTCTCTTTCTCTCTCGTCTCAACATTCTGCTATCAGGCATTCCAATTCTGACTATTGTTATCTATTACTTATGTCGGCATAGGTAGTATACACAAAATACTTACCATTACGTCAAAAGAAATATGTCAAATAATAATAGGGTCCGGTTTAGTTATGTAAATTATTCAGCTATGAAACTTAGTGACAAAAGTTTAACCATGTTCCGTCCACTTTATTTTAGACTGCCATGGTACGACCGAGGGTGGAGAGAGTCATCTCTCCTTCTCCAAATGCTCTCACATGGCTACGCGCATACAGCCACTGTCAGGAAAGTACTACTACCTAACTCGCTGGGGGGGGGGTTGTTTACAAAATTGTGAGGACGAAAAACGAATGTCCGACGCCTTAACGGGATTCGTGGATGTGGAAGGTTCATCTAGAGGAATTGAAAAACCTTGATTCCAAAACAATGGTGCACATTGACTTCATGACGCTGACCTTATTGTTAGTCACCGACTACCATGAGACTGTATCTGCTTATGTCGCTTCACTGGCTTGTGGATTAGACTTTTAGGTCAACGACTGAGTAAGTGTCTCTCTAAGAAAACCACTGACTTGGGTTTCGGCCCCTGGACAGAATTGCAGATATCATAAAAGTCGGATTATTTGTATGGCGCATATGTATTTGGTGCCTCCTTACACCGATGTCTATGTAGATGTTTAAATATATAAATAAGCTCTGAAAAAAAAGAATAATTGTAAACCATGTCAAACTTTGTAGGCAAAGATGGATAGTGGCTAGTAGTGGAATCCAGTTTGACGAGCGTTTCGTTCTATTTGTGACTCGTCAGCTGGATGTACCTTCATCTCAGAGTTGATGTTCACTATGGGACTCGAATCCATTACCTTTCTCTTCAAACGCCATCAATGAGAAGATTAAAACAAGTAATACTAAGTGAACATGTCAAACTTAATTTTTACATTCTAGAGTCAGTTAATTAGTCAATTAGTTATTCAAACAAAATGACTTGCATTTTAATATAAACTAATTAAATATCCTGTCTCGATTTTAGTTACCCTGACAAAAATCATTTGACACATTCATTCTTCATTAACCTAAAGGTCGAATTATAAAATGTACAAAGATACATACATTCGAAATTCTAGTCAATTTAGCAATGACATTGAAATCTGGCACTGAATACAGAATGGGTATGTGTGTATGTACGTCTAGTTATTAAATTTCATTAAAATATTACTAGCTTCAATTGATTCATAATCTCAACTATTAATCAACATATGCTCGCTAGTGACTAGATTCAAGAGGTATTTCCTGGAGTTCTAATGAGAAGCAGTGACCAATGGAGTTCAACTGGGTCTGTTGTAAGATAGTAACTCAATGAAGACATTGATGGATGCGTCGCTTAATTTCGTAGATCGGTTGAAGTTAGACATTAACACTGTTAGATGCCGACCAGCTCAGTGGTTTAGAGGTTAAGCGTTTGTGCGTGAAAGTGATAGGTCCTGGGTTCGAATCTCATTGATGCGCACTGCTGAGGAGTTCCACAATAGGACGAAACGACCGTCCAGTGCTTCCATGGTTTTCCATGGTGGTCTAGTTTCAATTGATTCATGATCTCAACTATTAAAATACCACGTATTTAAACTTTCGTTAGATAATAAATTTAGTTATAATTAATGCTTATAAAACGAATTGGATTTTTGATTTTTCACGTAAATAATCAAAAGAAAACGTACACTTGTAACTAATGAGAAGCCATGACCAGTGGAATCCAATCTGTGTCAGGCAGAGACGGGTATCTATTTCAGACAATGGATGAAGGGTTGCTCAATATCATGGATCAATTGAAGTTAGATATTAACACCGTTGGATGACGCGTCAGTGGTCTAAAGGTTAAACTTTCTTGAGCAAACCGAAGACCCTGGGATCGAATTCTGAGTGTGTGATTGCGAAAGCTCACTACTGAGGAGTCAAATACTAGAACGAAACGGCCATCCTGTGCTTCCAGGCTTCAATGATCGTTTAGCTGAGATCGACCCAACTGTTAAAAAAACACTTGTAATTGTTGTTCGTTTCTTTTTGTTGTTGTTATTATAATTGGAGGAGTACATATTAAGTTAATAAATCTTATATGTATGAAATACAAAATTATTTTTCATCAGTTCCAGTTGACTAAATAAATAATTGAAACCGGGGAAGTAAACAATTCTAGAAGAAAAAGAATTACACACATTTAACAATGATTAGCTTTTTTTAAAATTAACCAACTTTAGATGGGTATACTAAGGATTATCATTATTGACACAACTGAATTAACCTGATAAAGGAGACAGTCATCTAATGGCTAATAGTAATATGTTAGCAATGTAGTGAGCGAAAACATAAATGGGGGGCAATCAAATGAATTTCGGTTCAATATATCAAAGCATAAATAACAAGAAATCCTTTTTAGAACAAAAACCATTTATCATTTAAATTCATTTAGTATTGTTTGTTTAAATCTTCCCATTGTTGTTTAGGACTCCAATTGGCCAGTCTCTTATTGGCATATGTGCATACTGTGCAAATTGCCTGGATATAACCTTAATTCACAAGCATTATAAGTAAAGATGGATAGTGGGTAGTAGTGGAATCCAGTTCGAAGCGTGTTTCGTCCTATTTGGGACTCGCCAGCTGGATGTACCTTCATCTCAGCGTTGATGTTCACTCTGGGATTTGAACCCAGTACATTTCGCTTCAAACGCCATCGCGTTATCCACTCGGCCATTGAGTCCTGATAACCACTAGCTTGTGTAATAAGGTGAAATTTAAATTCATTTAGCATTTTTTGTTTGAAAACATAAGTGGTGGACAATCAAATGAGTTTCGGTTCAATATATCAAAGCATAAATAACAAGAAATCCTTTTTAGAACAAAAACCACTTATCATTTAAATTCATTTAGTATTGTTTGCTTGAATCTTCCCATTGATGTTGTTTAGGACTGCAATTGGCCAGTCTCTTATTGGCATATGTGCATACTGTGCGTATTGCCTCGATATAACCTTAATTCACAAGCATTGTAAGCTAAGATAGATAGTGGGTAGTAGTAGAATCCAGTTTGACTCACTTTTCGTCCTGTTTGAAACTCGTCAGCTGGATGTACCTGCATCTCAGAGTTGATGTTCACTCTCGGACTCGAACTCAGTACCGTTCGCTTCAAACGCCATCGCGTTATCCACTCGGCCACTGAGTCCTGATAACCACTAGCTTGTGTAATAAGGTGAAGTTTAAATTAATTTAGTATTTTTTTGTTTGAATCTTCTCATTGATGTTTAGAACTGCAACTGGTCAGTCTCTGATTGGCATATCATTTTATGAAATATACCTTTGTAGTTAATATTGGTCAGTTTATTTTTAATTACAAGAGAAGGGACTTTGAAAAAAAGTAGAGTGAAATCAGCAACACTTGCTTTTTTCTACCATCGATTCCTCAACAAAGATACATATGAAAGGTCTTATTCATTGATCATATGATTACATTGAATGATGTTGGCAGTTGGTAAATATTATCTTTAAATGATGCTGTAACCAATTAAGGGATATATATATGAGAATTTGTGAAATAGATAATATTGTAAATCAGAAGGGGTTAAGTGCTCTGGCGTGAGACTGGTAGATCCTGGGTTCGAATCCCGTGAGGCGTGATCGTAGGTGCGCACTGCCGAGGAGTCCCGCAATAGGACGAAATGACTATCCAGTGCTTCCAGGTTTTCCATGGTAGTCTAGCTTCAATTGACTCATGATCTCAACTATGAAAATACTGTGAATCTTTGAATAGCATGAAGATAGCCATATTAAAAATTTTCTAAGATCAATATCAATTTATTAGGGATTCAGTCCTTTACATGTCGAGTATATCGATTATGATTTAAATCAACCTCTGTATTAGTGGAGAATATTTCCGGTACTTTTATGCTCTTTTTTGGTCAAAATAATGAAGTAGTGAAATATCTTACAGGAATTGTTAATTGTCATCTGTTTACTAATTTTTTTTAAAAAACTTTTGAAAATATGTTAACGCTAGTCTAATTACAACCAGAAAAGATAAATATTCTGATTGTTTCACATAAATAATGATAGTGTTGACATGACTTACTACTGATTAAGATTTAAGTAAGCAAATTGTTAAAGTGAAAAATATTAGACAGTATTTGTGGGATGAACATCATAGTGTCATATGATCAAAGTGAAGTCTACTACGTATAAACTATTAGGGTAGATAGATTGAAAGTTCTATCGTAAATCAAATGTCTATTCCAATGTTACCTGATTTATAGTAATTTTATAAATTAC